AATGGGGGAATGCAGAGAGAGGGTGAATGCAGAGAGGAGGAGAATGCAGAGAGGAGGGGGATGCAGAGAGAGGGGGGATGCAGAGAATGGGGGAATGCAGAGAATGGGGGAATGCAGAGAGTGGGGGAATGCAGAGAGAGGGGGATGCAGCGAGAGGGGGAATGCAGAGAATGGGGAATGCAGAGAGAGGGGGAATGCAGAGAGAGGGGGGACAAATGCGTCCGCGTCACGTAGCGCGCCACGACAAACCATCCAATAAAACCGTTGCCATCGAATTGACAAGCCCAACCACCAACCAAAAACGGACTACCATGTAACGCTTTACAAACATGTAGTAAACCATAAAGGTATGGGCCTAAACAAACACAAGAGATACAATCAGTTTTGGTAAGAAGAAAAAATAAAACCCAATTTCATATAGATAACAATAACCATAACATGGGAAAATAGTGTAAGGGAGGGGTGGTTGGGGGTAGGACGGGAAGCGATTGAGAAGATTGGGGAAAGGTGGTGAAGAATTCAGGTGGGTTATGTCCGGGGTTTGGTTTGCAAACCTTTTGGCCCGAGTGCAGGAATTGGGCTTTCAAACCGAGACACGCTGGCTCCCTCGAGGAAATCCCCGTCCACGCTCCCTCAGGGCGCGCGCTGAGGCGGGTCCAAATAATTCGTTTTTGCAAAATACCCATACCCAGCCATTCTAGGTTGCTATTCTAACGATTTGAAATTCAACGTGTAAGGAATTACTATTCCATACTGGGGCTCGTCACAACGAGTACCGCGAACAGTGCGGGTCCGCAGGCTCGGCCGTGGGTTATCGCGCCAAACCAGCCCCCGACGACCTTTTCGGCCCCAGCCTGACCCCGAGTCGCCCCGGACCCGTTTTGACCCCGTCACCCTCAGACGAACGAGCCTTTGACTGTTCCAACCCTCGCACTATATAAGCCCTAGGTCTCATTATTCAGGATCATTCTTGAATCACGTTCCCTTATAGTATTCTGCGCTATACTCTGAGTTGTAATTCCTAAAAGCTGGTATCAGAGCTACGTTCCTGCCCATTAGGCTTACGGTAGGGGAGCAGACCCTCTTGGGGAAGGGGGCGGAAGGATTCTGATGGCGAGCGGACGTCGCGGAAATTAATTGCGCGGGCGTTGCCGATGCCGTCAGATCCTGTCTGATGGACTGCTAGGATTGGCCGGTCCTCCCCTTCCCTGGTCGTAGACGGAATTATTTCCCGTCGAATAGGGAGCGACGTTTTTGCCGTGTTTTTCGGGTATGTTCGTTATGTAAGAATTTGACAAGGTGGTGCTCGACTTGTAGGAGACTAAGTATAGAATCTTCTCGAGTCAAGCCTTGGGTACAGTAGTATCTCTACTACTCGATAGTACTTGTAAGGATCGTAATTTTGGAATGGTAGACTAGTAAGACAGCGGAAGTCTTATAAGAGTGAACCTGAGCACATGAACTTGTGGGTAGTCGAAGGTTGAATAACCTGAGCACATGATTCTGTGGAAAGTCAAGGTTGATAATAGAAAGGCATTACAAGGACTTATAGCTCTAAGGAAAGTACCTGTTCGGCTAGTTGCGCACTATGCGACCTATTCGTCATACTATAGGGTCGCGATTGTTCGCGTGTCTGAAATGACTCGTAACTGAAGCGGTATGCTGACGTCATCCCCGAGACCCGCGATGCTTTGCTGAAATCAGCACTCGGGCATGTATGCTTACTGAGAAACTCGATACTGCTAGCTATACTGAAACGGAACTTGCAGGAATGCAAAACTTCATATATCACAACACTCCTCTTCATTCCTGGAATTTCGATGTAGTCACGTCGTGGTTGGAGTCCGGCGAATGAAATCTGCAATTTGGAATCTTGTGATGTGTTAACTTCATGTGCTGTAAGTATTCGGCGGTCATTCCATTGGTCAAATGGTAGACCAATCGCTTTCTCCTCTAGGTGATGACGAATTTTGGCTTTGGCGAAGTGCGCGTAGATCCTCCTTTCCCCCCCCTCACTTCGGCAGAGCGAAAATGAGTCGGGTTTGGTGGTACAAGCGGTTGGGGCTTCGTCAATGAACGTGGCAAGGCCGAAGGGGATGAATGTAAAACCACGAGAGTATTGCATGTGGTTGAGAGAAGGCACGGCATCGTCCGGAGGCTTGACAAAGAACCATGAAGTGACAGGCAGATCTGATGGTGCAGTTTCGGGCAGAGAAATATGTTGAGTCGGCAGTGCATGCAGCTGCTCACGTAGCTCGTGTACGGTACTACTCAACCGTTCTACTTTGTTGCATTGTTGAACGCTATGATGAAGGGTTTGATAACGGTTGATGCCCATGCCTTGCTCGTAAAAGTTGGAGCTCGTGGTGTGATAATCAGCTGCTCTGTAGTAGAGGAAAGTTTGCAGCGTGGTACTGAGCTCGCTTGCTGCTATAGTCAGCCAAGCAAGAATCAAGAGAATGAAATATGAAGGGAGGAAAAGCCTTGAGATTGAATAACCTATCTCCGGGAGAGTGGCAATTGAAGATGTTTCTTAAGGCTTGTCGAGACAAGTTATAGCGTCGAAAAATATTTCAGGTGCGAGTCGCAGAGTTTCCTCGTCGTCTTGAAGAATATTTTCTTTGATATCAATAGCAGGTGTTTCGGCAAGGATGTCGGTGGTGCTGCTACTCAGATTGTCTTCTTCGTTGCTGCTGAGTTCAATGGGTGGAACAGTTACCAAAGCGGCTGCTGCGATGATGGATGGAGTTTGAAGAGGAGCGGCATTTTCAGAAGATTTGGCTGCCTTGAAGTGTAAAACGAATACGCCATTTTTTATTGATGCTCTTCCGATGTACGCGTTATCCACATCATGTATTAACTCTTGCTCTTGTGTCGTGCAGTTTCCGATCGTGCGGATTTTCTTTCTCAAGAGTTGAATAGTTGAGACTAAATTAAAGCCAAGAGTGTCGACGAGTAAAACATTGGTAAGGCGTAAGGAATTTCCCGTGTCGATTGATGTCAAAAGTAGACTGCCGATATTTTCTGCTGCAATTGTTTGACCATTGGCGAGTGTGATTGGGCAGGGTTGAAGAAGTCGACGACGGTTGTAGATGAAAGGATTTGTTGAAAAGACCATATGATGGCCACAACAACTATCCAAGTACCAAGTATCGGTATCTGAACTGCAACCAGCCATGTGAGTGTTTCCAGTTGGTAAGCAAAATTTTGATGTTACCGTTTTGTTGGTAGAGGGTGAATTAATATCGAGCGGCTTTGATGTCGTGCTTGAAGGAGCAAAGCTAAGTGTTGCCGGTTTTGTCGATGTTGCAGATGATGCTTTTGGAGGTGCAGGCTGCTGCAAAGACTGCTTTGAAGGATGTCGTAGTTGTTGTGATGATTGCGACTGCTGCGATTCTTAAGGAGGTAAATACCCCTTCTTAAAGTAGCATCGGTTGGTAGAATGTCCTCCCTTGTTGCAAATCTGACAGAAGCATTGAGGACGTCGAATTGGTGTTGAATAGAAGCTGAGTTGTATATCCCCCTTTTTGTTGAGTGCAGCTTGAAGATCAAGATCCTGCTGTTCTGCTTGAAGATACGAAGAAATCTCGACTTCGGAGAGATTCGGGTTCATGCGCAAGAAGGCGCGCGTCTGTCGCCACTCGGGACCAAGTCTAGCAAGAAGGACCATGAGATACACCTCACAAGGAAAGTATCCACCAGTCTTCTCCTATTGATCTCATAGTGTGCGTACACGATTGACGTAATCCATAACATTCTCGTTTGTCATCATCTGCACATTTGTCAGCTCAACCCTAAACCCTAAACCATGTATGCTTACTGAGAAACTCGATACCGCTAGCTATACTGAAACGGAACTTGCAGGAATGCAAAACTTCATATATCACAACATGTTAGAGCTTTCGTAATTTTCGGGTGTTCGGACGGAGTCTTCGGATTGGCTTCTGAAAAAAGCGAGGGCTTCATCATGAGGAGACAAGTGCACGGGAGTTCTCAGGCGGCCAGGAGTTGGTCGTCAGGAGTGCGCGGGGTGGCGAAAATGGCGGGATGTACGGCGATGTACGTCTGGCACGCCATGCAGCGGCAGAGTGAACTGTAGCTGCGTCGCGGGTCCCGGCGTTTCCGGCAGGCTAGCTGCAGGCGATGGACGGGAATTCAACACTATTTCGGCAATGGGCGGATCTGACAAATTCGGAACGACATGATCGCATGAAGACATGTGGGTGTGCAGTTGTGTGGGAGAAGCTGAGATTAACGACCTCGGCGCTATATACTACGACGACCATCTGGAGGTGATGACGGTGTGCTGGAGTGGGTGTACTCAGCGAGGGCGACTTCCCGCGTGGGGAGGCGTTTTTCGTGGACTAGCTATTCATATCCCCATGATCAACGGAAACGAAGGCCACCACCATTGGGTGTGTATTAAGTGTTTTCCACCGGTCGCCAAATGCGTTAACTGTCAGGATTTGAAGCAGTGGGAGAAGAACGACGGGAGTACTGGAGCAGATGGGTTAGCGGCATTCGGGATGCTACCCGCTCAGCTACGTCACCCTAAAATCAACATTCCCACCAAGTAGCAGTGTCGACTTATTAATCAACGGCTTCTGGATGAACAGGGGGGGTGAACCTGCGAACTACACTGTGCTGATGGAGTGTCCTCGAAAATTTAGGAGTTACTGTTGAAGTGGAGCTGAGGGCGTTTACCTGGTGCAACAGAAGGAGGTTCCGACTTTGTTGTGTGATGTCATCATATGCTATCACATTCTGTCTGCCTCCCATCCCATGTTTTCAACTTGCATGTGTGGTTTGAATGTGCAAGCATTTGTGTGTGGTGTGTTCTGGAGTTTGGGAATGTGTTTTGTGTTATTTTTGTTTGAGCATGTATTTGTGATGATAGATCTTGAGAAGATCTTTCCGACGCAACAAGAATCGCTTCAATCGGAGCAAGAACGCGAAAGCTATGAAGATTCAAAGTTCATGAGCTTGCGTTACAATTGCGGCGGTTACAAAGTGAAGTTGTGGGGTGACTTTATATGGAGTTGGGACCTTTGGGGTTGGGGAAACTTGTCACTCTACTGTAACAGCTGCAAATAGGTTGGGAACAACCAAGCTAGGTTGGCAAGGGTGGCCAACTTGGATGGATTGGTTGGGAAGGGACAAAGGTCAAAGTTGAGGTTCCTATAGGGAGGGAATCTTTGTGCTTATGGGGTTTCCTTGGTTGGGGACTCTCTTGGGACCTCCCCTCTCATCCCTCTCTTCCTATCCCAACCTTTCTCTTGCTCCTTCTAATTTCCTTGTGAGATTCTTGAACTTTGATTGAACCTTTTGAGATTGAGTTAAGTTCTCCTCCTACAGCTTACCCCCTAATGCGTCGAAAGCCATAACGTCGCGAATACTTCATCAATCAACGTGATTCAAATTGGGAACGGTAGCTGAGATTAAGAGCTACAACATATCCAAGTTTCGCGACATTCCAACGGCTAGTTTTTCGTCGACGTCGTTTCTTGTGAAGACGACTTTTCTGTCCAGAATTTCGGATTTATATTTTGAGTAATTCTAGCTCCTAAGTTCACCTAGACTCCGTCCTTAATCCTAACAAGTGGTATCAGAGCCATATTAAGGACATTGAGAGGAGTCTACAGAAGTGTGAAGACCCTTCTAGACCCACCATGGCCTGTGGGTGTGCCTAAGTGGTGTTCTAAAGGTTGGATGTGTCTTCCGCTAAGGGGAAACTCTGCCGAAATTTCGTGGACGCCGATACTTGTGAAAATATCGAGGGAGCTGAGTGTGGACAGCAAAGGGGAGCTGAAATTCGTCATTTCTCAAGGAGAAGATGAATGAGAGAGGAGGAGATGCTAATGGAAGAGGAGCTGTAGCTGAGAAGGCAAGTGAGCCGCCGCCATCAAAAGTTGAAGCTTTGGATGGCTCCAATTATGAGGAATGGAGCGGACGGATGAGGAGTGCCTTCAAACGCTACAAGCTACTGAAGATTGCTGTTGGGGAAGAGAAGATGCCGGAAGAAGGCGAAGCACGTGAACGGTGGATTGAGAAAAGCGCGGTGCTTTTCGACCTCATCCTTCAATCGGTCAACAAGGAGATGTTCGAACACATCAAGGATCTTGTGGAGGCGGATGATTCGCGTCCAAGGGCGTGGAAACTACTACGCGATGTGATTCAGCCCAACACTCTCCCGATGGTGATCGTGCTCGAGAAGGAACTTGCTGCCATCTCCATGCGACCAGGGGACGATGTGAAGCCGGTCCTTGACAAGATCAAGGACACCTATGCAAGGATGGCAGCAGCGGGCAGCAGTGTATCTCAGCTGCAGCAGTGCACCAAGATCATCTCGGTGTTGGACAACTCTTGGGACAACCTCATCCCCACCCTCAACTCTCAGCAAGATCAATGGACACCTGAGTGGCTAAGGCAGCAGATTCTGCAGGAGGACTTCCGCAGACGCCATGTGGGAGGCGGTGCTGCCACTAAGACTGCTGAGGGGTATGGAGCTGCAGGGCGCGGCAGAGGAAGAGGGGGTTGGAGAGGCCGAGGCCGTGGGAGAAGCTTTGGCAGAGGTAGAGGCCGAGGTGACTATAATGAGGGGCATGGGAGCTCCAGTGGCAGGGGGAGTACCAGAATGGAGGGCACCTGCTGGTACTGCAAGAAGATAGGGCATCCTTGGTTCAAGTGCTTCAGCAGGCCGGAGGGATGGGCACCTCCAGGCATGAAGCCGCCCAGTGGTGAACGCGCACAAGGTGGCGCTGTGCAAGGTTCAGGTGCACAAGGTGAAGGTACACAAGGTAATGCCTATCCTGGTTTGTTTCTTATGGTTGAGGATGTGCATGGGCATGAGGGTGATGTGGGATCTGTCGGAAAGGTTGTGATGCACCCTCTCACGCACTGGGTGATTGATTCGGGTTGCACCAGTCACATGACCCCACGGGCAGATTTGCTTGATGAGGTAAAACCCCCTGGGAAGATCAAGTATGTGGCAGCAGCGTCAGGTGCTTTGCTCCCTGTGATTGGCGTTGGGAATGCCAAGGTTAAGGGAGCTAATGGGGAGCTTGTGGGGCTTGGGAATGTTCTGCTAGTTGAAGGTTTGTCTGCTAACCTTCTCTCTGTGCGGCGACTGCAGAAGAGCAAGGCCGAAGTGACCTTTGGACCAACCAGCTGCCGTGCTAAGCTTGGGAAGAAGGTGCTGTGGAGTCTGGAAGAGGAGACCAGCTGCATCAAGGACCTATGGCAGCTGCCCATCATCCCTTGGAATGGGAAGACTCCAACAACAGCAACGGCAGCAGCGGCAAAGGCAACAGCAGGAGGAGATGCAACTGCACCAACTGATGGGGTCCTGGAAGCAGTCAAGAAAGTGCAGCAGCAGCAGAAACATAGTGAGGTGCTTGCTGGTGTGGATGCAAGTGCGGCATGGGCTAAGGCTTCATCAAGGAGTGGTGAGGCCGATTGGGAGACATGGCATGAGAGGCTGTGTCATGTGAACTTCCCTATGCTGCAGAAGTTGGTAAAGGATGGGAGCCTGAAAGGCTTGGAGGTGAAAGGGGGAGTGAAGGAGATTGGGAGCTGCCCTACATGCTTGGAGACCAAGTTCTCCAAGTTCCCTTTCAACAGCACTACAGGACCAGCCAAGACCCCACTTGCACTTGTGCACATGGATGTGGTGGGGCCCACAAGAGCCCCTTCCCTCTCAGGCAGCTGCTATTTCTTGACAATTGTGGATGACCACACTCGGGCAGTGTGGGTTTACCCTTTGAAGAGCAAGGGGGAGGTGGCAGCGGCTGTCCTTAAGGAGTGGATGCCTAGAGCTCAGAGGGAATGCGGACACAAGGTGAAGGTGATCCGCAGTGATAATGGTGGGGAGTTCATTGGAGCTGATTTTGAGGGGGAGTTGAAGAGGAAGGGGATCCAGCATCAACTGACAGTGCCCTACAACCCGCAGCAGAATGGCGTGGCTGAGAGGTTCAACAGGACCCTGCAGGAGGGGGCACGCACTCTCCTTGGGCGTGCAGGGCTGCCTGATCCGTTTTGGGTGTCTGCACTGAGGCAGATCGCCCTTGTGAAGAACAGGGTGCTGGCCACAGTTGGGGATAAGGAGTGGATTCCATATACTAAGTGGTATGGGAGTGCTCCAGCTGTGAACATGCTGAGGGCATTTGGGTGCATGGTGGTGTTTCATGTGCCTAAGGAGAAAAGGGGGAAGTTGGAGGCTTCTGGAAGATGGGGTGTGCACTTGGGGATTGCAAAGGATCACAAAGCGTGGCTGCTATGGGACTTGACCACCCAGAAGTTGACAGTGTCAAGGGATGTGAAGTTTCTTGAGTCCCTGTACTACAAGGAATGGAAGCAGCAGCAACAGAAGCTTCCATCTACACCGCTCATTGTGGAGGCAGATGAGGTGCAGCAGCCTTCAAGACAGGTGGAGGTTGCAGTGTCTGAGGAGGAGATGTCTGGGGTGACTGAGGAAGGGGGAGCAGCTGAAGTAGAGCAGCAGCAGCAGCAGCATGAGTCTCCACCTCGAGTTCCACACCCGCCTGAGCGTCCTAGGAGGGATGTGCGCCCTCCAGTGAGGCTGACCTATGGGGGAAGAGGCAAGTCGAATGTGGTGCAGGCTGGGAGTGTGGTTGAGCAGATTGAGGAAGATGAGATCGCTCACTGCTACTGGGCACCAATCCCTGAGCCCAAGACTCGAGAAGAGGCCTTGAATGGACCAAATGGGGAGAAGTGGAAGGCGAGTGAGGATGAGGAGTTTGGGTCCCTGATTGAGAACGAGACATGGGACCTGTGTGACTTGCCTCCTGGAAAGAAGGCAATCACTTCCAAGATGATCTACAGGCACAAGTATGGACCTGAAGGGGAGCTGACCCGCTACAAGTCGAGGCTTGTGGCAAGGGGGTTTCAGCAGACAAAAGGGAAGGACTATGATGAGGTGTTTGCTCCTGTGGGGAAAGGAACAACACTGAGGGTGCTGTTAGCGATAGCTGCACTCCTGGGATGGAAGATACGGCAGATGGACATTGTGACTGCTTTTCTGAATGGGATCATTATGGAGGAGGTGTACATGAAGCAGCCAGAGGGGCTGGATGATGGGAGCGGCAGGGTCTGCAGGCTGAAGAAGGCCATTTATGGCCTTAAGCAGGCGCCTCGTGCATGGTATCACAAGTTGGAGGAGGCGCTGTTGGCTGGGGGTTTCAAGAAGAGTGAGTGTGACCCCAGCCTGTTCCTGCTGCAGGAGAAGGATGAAATCCTCATGCTCTTGGTGTATGTGGATGATATCCTTCTCTTTTCTGCATCAACTGCTTTGCTGGACAGCGCAGAGCAGATGCTGGAGATGCAGTTCAAGTGCTCCAAGATGGGTGAGGTGAAGTACTACCTGGGGATGCATGTGGAGAGAGATGTGGAAAAGGGTGTGCTGAGGTTGCACCAGAGGAAGTACTGTGAGGGGCTGGCTGAGAAGTATGGGCTGCAAGATGGGGGAAAGCCAGCAACACCACTACCTTCAGGGTTTACTGTGGGGCCATGTGCTGATGAGGAGGTAGTGGGTAAGAGTGACAGGAAGCTGTTTCATTCGATGGTTGGGTCGCTGAATTATGCTGCAAATCATACACGGCTTGACATTGCATTTTCTACATCACGGTTGGCTAGTGTGGTCTCACGCCCTAGTCATGAGCAGCTGGAAGCGGCCAAGAGGTTGGTCCGCTATGTGAGTGATACGGCATCAGTGGGATTGGAGTACAGTGGAGTGAGGCAGCGGTTGCAGAGAGGTGCTGCAGATGTGAAGAGTGGAGAGATGCTCTTGAGTTGCTATACTGACGCTAGCTTCAACTCAGTGAAAGCGGATGGCACCAGCATTGGGGGATATGTGTGCTTGCTAGGAGGTGGTGCTGTGAGCTGGCGCAGCAAGAAGCAGAATGAGGTGGGATTGTCCTCATGTGAGACTGAGTACATGGCCTTACACCATGGGGCCAAGGAAGTAGTGTGGCTAAGGCGTTTGTTGGAGGAGTTGGGAGTTGGTCAGGAGAAGCCGACAGTTGTGTTTTGTGACAATGAGTCCGCTGTGAAGCTCGCCAAGAATGCTTGTCTGCATGGGCTGACAAAACACATAAGGCCTAAGTGGCATTGGGTGAGGAGACTCCTTGATAAGGAGGTGCGGCTGGAGATAGTGAAGACCCATCAGCAGGCAGCAGATATTTTCACTAAGCGTCTGGCGGAGGCGGATCATTGGAAGGGCATGAAGCTTGCTGGGATGAGTGTGCATTGAGTATGCATGCTTGAGATGTGGTATGGTGGATGATGGTTGGCAGCCAGAGGGGGAGATTGTTGTGTGATGTCATCATATGCTATCACATTCTGTCTGCCTCCCATCCCATGTTTTCAACTTGCATGTGTGGTTTGAATGTGCAAGCATTTGTGTGTGGTGTGTTCTGGAGTTTGGGAATGTGTTTTGTGTTATTTTTGTTTGAGCAGGTATTTGTGATGATAGATCTTGAGAAGATCTTTCCGACGCAACAAGAATCGCTTCAATCGGAGCAAGAACGCGAAAGCTATGAAGATTCAAAGTTCATGAGCTTGCGTTACAATTGCGGCGGTTACAAAGTGAAGTTGTGGGGTGACTTTATATGGAGTTGGGACCTTTGGGGTTGGGGAAACTTGTCACTCTACTGTAACAGCTGCAAATAGGTTGGGAACAACCAAGCTAGGTTGGCAAGGGTGGCCAACTTGGATGGATTGGTTGGGAAGGGACAAAGGTCAAAGTTGAGGTTCCTATAGGGAGGGAATCTTTGTGCTTATGGGGTTTCCTTGGTTGGGGACTCTCTTGGGACCTCCCCTCTCATCCCTCTCTTCCTATCCCAACCTTTCTCTTGCTCCTTCTAATTTCCTTGTGAGATTCTTGAACTTTGATTGAACCTTTTGAGATTGAGTTAAGTTCTCCTCCTACAGCTTACCCCCTAATGCGTCGAAAGCCATAACGTCGCGAATACTTCATCAATCAACGTGATTCAAATTGGGAACGGTAGCTGAGATTAAGAGCTACAACATATCCAAGTTTCGCGACATTCCAACGGCTAGGTTTTCGTCGACGTCGTTTCTTGGGAAGACGACTTTTCTGTCCAGAATTTCGGATTTATATTTTGAGTAATTCTAGCTCCTAAGTTCACCTAGACTCCGTCCTTAATACTAACAGACTTTTGTGGGTGTAGTTCGACGAGTTTCCGACAGAGGAGGGAGCTGTCCAGCGGTCAGTAGGCGAGCTCGTTAAAGCTCCTCTAACTAGAAGCGTGCGCACTCCTATCTCTGCGGATTCTCCTAGTTAGTTTAGCAGCAGCGAAGCAGTTTTGGGTAACCTGCAGCAGCTGCGAGATGGGTGAACGTCGGCACGGCCAGCTGGTCAGGGGTACCATGGTATTTTAGGCATTTGGGTTACAGCTGTGAGGAGATCGACGGCGTATGATACGCATTGACCCTAGATCGACGGCCAAAACTGTTTGTGCAACCCTATGGCTTGCACTCGGCTTGTCGTCCTTGTTTGTGTGTGTGTGTGCATGCATGGCATGGAATGACTTGTGAGTCTATGTCATTGCTATCTAGTGCTTGTGTGTGTGTGTGAATGGTGTATCACAATGTGGTTTGTGTCGGTCAAGACATTAGCGAGTTTTCACAACTCGCATGTCAAGTCGTCGTTTGCGCGTCGCATGTGCTTTCTCTATTTTGTCGAGTGTGAAGTGTCCATCTCATCGCAGGTGTGTGCAGCAAGCCCTCATCATCTCAAGAAGAACTGATCTTGCTGAACCAAGACCAAGAGCTCAAGATTTCAAGCCCAAGGGACGTGGACAAACATTAAAATTGTGAAAATATTAATGCTACTTCAAGTAGTGTTACATTTCACTTGGTGTAGCCCCTTGTTGGGTTTGTTTCGAGTCTCCTCATGGTTGGGGACTCTGTGGTGATGTACCACCAACTTGGACCTCGGCTCTTGGGGTATGTAGAGGCTGGAAACCATCCCTACCTCGAATTCTTCTTCCAAAGTTTTTTGTACTCCTAAGACTATTGTGGCTGCTGTACCTCCTGCGAGTCAAACCGCCATAGCGTCGTCAAATTTTCATGGAAGTTTATGATTCAACTTGCTGCTAATAGGCGACAGCAACACGCTCTAGATCCAATTTACAGATCACCGTTTGAGGTACACATCAGATCGGCATGAACATTTGAAGCTGTCTGATGGAATTCTGACTGTGCACAGTTTCTCTCATTTTAGGCACATTTGAGCCTATTGTGGTTATAACAAAAACATCATGCCGAGGCGGTGGACTCTGGTAAAACCTAAGATAAAGGGTTCAGTTCATGCGTATAGTTGGTGGAGAAACCTTGGGGGCGCTACTAAAGGACTCCGTGACGCCTGGGCATTTTTACGGTTAATTGTGAAGCGGAGTTACGGTATTTGCTAAGTACCGAGCGATTCCAACATTTTCGGAGAGTTTGTGCAGCGGTTCAAGAGTTTACAGCTAGAGTTGTGCCCGCTATCTTCAAGGGTACGAGCGACATCGACCGACATTTGCGGAGAGTTTTGGTTATATGGAGCAGAGGGGGAGCAGTAGCATTTTCGGCTCTTCCCGAAATTTTCGGCGTGTACGGATAAAAGGCGGATGCAGCTGGTGTCATTTGAAATCGGGTTCTGTTCGAGGATATTCATGGGAGTGGTTCGGGATAGGTTACAGGTCATCGCCATCGTTGTCAGCCTCTCGCCACCACCTGCTACCACCTCAATGTTCAATTCCACCGACAGTGTGAACACGTCCCCGCCATATCATCGCCACCCATCAGGAGCAGTATCGGATTTACAAGAAATTTTGCAGCAGTGCTGTCGAGCTGAGTTGTGGCCAGCTCGCCAGCTATGTTGAAAAAAAAAAGAAACAAAGTTCGTGGGGGAGTCTTCTGCAGTAGTCGTTGCGGCATTTCAACACCATTGAAGCGATTTACCCTGCGGCGGCGGCATTTCACGTTTGGTGCATCCTTGGGACTTCTAGCGGTTGGAGTTTTGCAGCGGCATCCTGGAAGCTGAGTTCTGGGATTTTCAGCCGCAGTGTGGGCTTATTTCGACGTCCCTGGAGCCTTGGGTTTTCTGAAGATCTACCTGGGAAATTGGGAGCTGTTTTCTTTGGAGGGGGGAGAAGGGCAGCTGTGCTGCAATTTTCCGACGACTTTCCAGCGTGTTCCATTAACCATTTTCGACCGACATTCGTCATCGTTACGCTTCCTCACCTGATTTCGTCACTTCGTTGATGGAGTTCGCTGACTTTCGTGGGACACTGACGCGTGCTCTCGCATGTGACGCGAACGACCTCGCATTTGACAAATGGGTTCTTCATTTTCATCGACCATCACGTTATTCGCGCGTCATCGTTTCAAGAAATTCAGCCGCCAGACGCCATCATCAATCGACAACTCAACGGTTTCACTGTTCATTGATTTCCGCTGGAGTATGTATTTACCCTTGCCCGTTGGGTCACCAGAAGATTTCGACCATCTTCGACGGCCACGATTAAAAGCGATCGTTTCGACGCTTTCTGACCATCGATTTCAGCTCGACCTCAAGACCTCGTCAGGCCGGCGTAATCATAATGCTCGTCACAGGGCTGAAGACTTACAGTCACTTCGGGGATTACGTTAGATAAAAGGTTTGACCTCGATAAAGGGAGGGCCTTCCTTTTAGAAGGTGGGAGAGTGTAAGGAATTACTATTCCTTACTAAGGCTCGCCACAACGAGTACCGCGAACAGTGCGGGTCCGCAGGCTCGGCCCTGGGTTATCGCGCCAAACCAGCCCCCGACAACCTTTTCGGCCCCAAGGACGAAGGAGGCTGACGGGGAACGCGTTGTGAATGCGCCACTCATCCGGGAGTAATAGCTTCGTGGTGACAAGTGTCACCATCTTGGTGATGTGGAAGGGCCCACAAAATCTAGGGCAGAGTTTTCATGGGAGGGGTAGGCGAAGGTATTTCGTGTCGAGAAGGACTAGTTGCCCAGCAGCCATCGTAATATTTCGGCGATGAAGATCGGTGTAGCATCAGACTGTAGTGTTGGATTTTCGAATAAACTCGATCGCTTTTTCCCGGGCGGTCTGTAAATTATTAACAAACTGCTGGGAGCAAGGCACAGGATTGTCGATGTTGGTCGTCGTGGGTACGGTGGGATCCATCCCATAGTTGAGGAAGAAGGGCGAGTGATTAGTAGTTGTAGATGGGGTATTGTTGTAGGAGAATTCCAGCATGGGTAGGAATTCTTCCCATCGGGCGAGATCAGGACAGGTGGTGCGTATGAGCTGTTACAGTACATTGTCTAATTGGTGTGCTCTGTCTGGCCGTCGGTTTGTGGGTAGTAGGCGGACGAAAATTGCTGGCGGGTGCCGTACTTTTCCTTGGTCTCTTGCCACAACTTGGATGTAAACTTGGGGTCGCTGATGATCGCCGAGGGTAGGCCGTGCAGACGAACAACGGTGTAGATGAACAGTTTCGCGATTTCTTCAGCTGTGGTTGTTATGTGACACGGTGCAAAATGCGTCATCTTCGTCAAGCGATCAACGACTGACGAGGCCGGCATCGTTGCCACTTGCGCCGCCCGGAAGTCCCGTGACGAAATCCATTGCCACGTGTTGCCATGACTTCTGGAGTGGCTCAAGCGGTTGCAGTAGTCCAACCCGCCGCTGTTGAGAGGACTTCATACGCAGGTAGATCGGGCACACTGAGACGTATCTTTGCATATCAGACGCGAAATCCAACCAATAAGAAGGAATTTCTCGGTTTTATTAACCCCGAAATGAACGGAGAAGTTAGAATCATGAACTTTCTAAATCAGTTATTCGCAGAGGAGACGGTAAGCGAGAACCCAGATGCGGTCAGTGCCGGCTTTTAGGAAATAAATTCCCTTGGCCGTAGTGGCTTGCTGATGGAGGTTGCGGGTGAAGAAATGGTCGGTCGCGTATCCATGGGTAAATATTCCGGTGAAGAGTGGGTTGGATTTGGCAATGATTATGGAGGTGAGGTGGGCAGGCGGTTGTGTCAGTGCGTCGGCGAAGTTCTTCGCCCCACGTTTGTACATGCTGGTATAGTGGGAATCGCTTTCCAGGAAATCTAGCCAACGAATCTGTCGTGGGTTGAGGTTCGTTTGCGCACGGAGGTACTGTAGGGATTTGTGGTCTGTCCATACTGTCTCGTCGGCTCCCTTCAGATAGCAGCGCCACACCTTGGACGCGTGCATGATGGCGAGCATTTCTTTGTCGTGGACAGGGTAGTTGCGCTCGGCAACTTGCAGCTTTCTAGACTCGTACGGGATTGGTTGGAGTTCATTGCTGAAATCTTGTGAACGGGGACGTGCTCGAACGAATGAAACCCTTCCCCAGCAGATAATCCAGCTGGCTCCACAACTCCGTGAGTTTGGGCTGAGTCAGCCGCCACTTTATCCTAGCTGCACACCAGGTGAATCTTGTGGTCCTGGGGGTGCTCGGGTGGCCGTCCGGCTGACAGGTCATCCATAAAAATATCCGGGTACTGTCGAATCAGCGTGGTGAGCTCGTCGGGTATTGCGGCACATAAAGTGTCGATATCCCGCGGCGTGTCATCAGCCGTTGCTGCGTGAAGATGGACGGCGTACAAGTCGGCTCCCTTTCTTACAACTCGTTGGAGCGTGATAGCGTTGACACATCTCGACACCGGCTCCCGTCCTCGCCAGCAGGGAAGTACACGCTCTCCATTTTAACAGTTGACGCCGAATTCGCCAGTCATCCAGTCGATGCGTGGGTTGTACTTTTGCAGCCAATCGCGTCCGAGAAGGATGGTCGCAGCCATCCAGCGTTGTCTCCAACATGGGCTGTTGATGCCAGCTGGACAGCTTCATCGAATGTCTTGGGCTGCGGCCGCTGCAACTCGGATTGAATGTATTTGTCTCACCTATCTGCGGATGTATTTGTCCCGCCTTTCTGCTGATGTATTTTTTCCACTTTTTAGCTTCATTGAGGTGATCCACTTGTACGCAAGTGCCAAGAATAATGCAGTGTAATCCTGAACAGTAGTCACCTACCGCCATTTGCGCAGCTTCATGCGAGCGTCATCTGAGGCGGATGAGTGCTCAAAACGAGTCTGCAGAGTTGTGCCCCACCGCTTCCACGTGCAAATCGTGGTTGTACCGAATATCGTTTCTGCCTGTTGGTTGGAAGAATCCGAAGTCCCGTCTTTCATTTGCTTCATGCCTTCTGAAGTCCCTGTCGCCAACTGACGTCGCCACCAATCCAGCGTTGGCCCTCGAACCAGCAACTTGGCATAATTATTGCGTGTGTTGTCCACGTTGACACTTGCAGCCGTGAAGAATAACTCTATGCTGAACAGCCACCCTTGTACAGTTGTCGCTTTGTCAGAAGGGTTGAACGGGGGCGACGTGGCTGGCTTGAGTTTAATCTTCGTGATTGTCATAGTGCGCACGTCTTCTTGCTCACCGCATCATTGGCTTCTTACTTGACATCATTCTCTGTGACCTCGGGTGACTCCTGGCGCGCTTCACCACGCGTCTCGCGAAGCTCAGTGTTCTCCGTCCGAAGTCTCACGACTTCACTGTTCAAACTCTCCATCTGGGATTGCATTGCCTGCATTTGATCCATGACTTCGTCTAGCTGGGCCTGAGCCATGATGTGAATGCTTCGCCTTTCGGGCAGGGGGAAGGCTGTGGTAAGGAACCGCAGGGGGGCAAACACTATCGTAGTTGTGTGAGCTAATAACTCTAGCTCACGGATAACCGCTTTGCAGCCCCGCAGGGTTAATGACGCCTTGGAGATCAACTACCTCGAGAAAGCGAGGTGAACCAGGAAAGTATCTATGATTCCAAATGTTATGAATAATAAGTGAGACTGCGCGGAATAATAATGACGAGTACAAGAATGGGAGCATAGCACTATATAGCGAGAGCTCTAGCTAGGCGACGACCTCGGAGGGCTAGGTTGGGCACAGGGGTAGCTGAAAGGGCAAGAGGCGGCGCGAGCCAGCCTCGGGGTTGCATCGGAATCGGACCGAGCTTGGTCTTCCGAGAGTGCGGGTGCATGCGATT